CTTTGTATTCTTTCCAGGATGCTGATCTTGAAGCTTTTTGGTACAGAACCAGAATTCTGTATACAGATCCAGGTCTCATGTCCAGTTACCAGTCACAGCAGCCTGGCCTGCACTGGAGGACCCAATGTTTACCATGTTTGGTTTCTAGAATCTCTTTATCTTTTGTGACCTTCTGTGTGTCCCTGGATTTATACTGCAGGACTCAAATGGACTGATTATCAGCAAGAAGGCTCAAGGGCCAGTTCCTATTTCCTCCTGGACTCTGTCAGCTGCTCAGATAGACATAGAAGGCAGGGTGATTATGATCAAGACAGCCTATGCAACCAAGTAGGCTCCTCCCAGAACTTCCACTCTTTACAATTCTTCTTCTGGGACCTTCTACCCTTGACTAATGGAACAGAAGCAAATGTTTTGTGATTCTATCCAAAATTAATAAAAGTCTCCTTGAAAATGATATCTTCACCCAAACACCCCATGTAAGGACTGGGAGCAATATAACAGAACCAACAGTAAGTCATCCTGGTGGTGTGTCTAGCTTCTTTCAGGAACGACTTCTTGAACAGTATTTTTCTCATGTTTGCATGGCCAGAGAACTCACCTGGAAACTTAAAAGCAAAGAAAGGGGGTACCACTCAGAGGTTGGGTGCTCATTGGTCAGGGTTCATATTTCATTTCCAAGTATTAAAATTAAGTGATACTCAATAATCCTTTAAACTCTGGGCTTTTACAGTAATTCTGAGATGCCTTGAAGAGTCCAATTTAGGATCCTTTTTATACACTCTCTCAAAAAAATAAGAGAATGCAAGGCTTTCAGGGATATTAGGCATGCAAATCCTAAGATCATTTTGTTCAAATTTATTACTTAGGAGATAATGAACCAGTATTCACAAAGTCACATTGAGCATTTCCTAGAAATAAGATATTCAGGCCTATTGTCACACTTTCTCAGTCAACGTCTCTCAAATGGGGATGAGGGCAAGGAGCCTGCATCTCAGAAAGTTCTCTTAGTGATCTCAGGAAAAATTATATTTGGAACCATTAATCTGTAACAGATTTAAAAAAAAAAAAAACCCCTAACTGCACAATATAATTCCACAGGGGCTTTAAGAACAGTCATGTTCGCTAGAGCAGAGGCATCTATTCTGGATGCCTTTGAGCCTGATGTCCCAGACACCATGCAGTGCCAGTCACACTGTACTCCTTTGCATGTGATTGCACCGGACATCTGTGTTGTCAAAGCCCTCGGATGATCATAGTATACAGCTGTGATAGCTTATCCTCACTGTCAATTTGACCCAATGTAGAATCATCATAGAAATATATGTGGGTGTGTTTGTAGACATTACTTCCAGGAGGATTCAAACGAAGAAGGAAAATACCTTCTGAATGTGAATGGAACCATCAGTGGAAGGGACCTGGACCGAAGAAAAAGAAGAAAGCAAACGAAACACCAACATTCATCTCTCTGCATCCTGGGACTGCAGATCAATGGGGCCAGCCATCCTCTACTGCAAGTGCATACACTTGGATGCACATATACCACAGAAGTTAGAAATGTGTGAACACCTAGGGATAAAGGAGGAAGACAGGTGTGTAAATCAAGACAGAGTGGGAACTGGAGTAACAGATAGGTGAAAAAAGAGTGTCAAAGAAGACAACATCATGGTATTGTTTGAGCCAAGTCTCCCTACAGGTACTAAAGCATCCTCCATAACATGCCTTCTCTTTCATCTCTTAAAGCACCCTCTCTTGTTTCAGCTTTAACCTCATTGTAACTCCTTTCAGTCCTTAAATGACACACTCCCCTTAATGAAGCCCTCCATTCACTGATTCTGCTTGTCTAAAATACTCTTCAACCTTTCCTGTGTTCACCACCAACCTAGGAGTTTGCTTAGGTTACTCCTCATTGGCCTCCCATAGGATGAAATATGCCTTTGCCATACATGCCCAGACCCCCTGCATTGCAATGTTTAAAGCCTATATATCTTCATGGCGTATCTGGGACCCTAAGACAGCATGTCCCACAACAGCAAGAGAAAGGATTCTATCCTCTGTCACATGTCTCCATTCATACAAAAGAGGTACTAAAAAAAAAAAAAAAAAAAAAAAAAAAAAAAAAAAAAAAAGAGTGTATTGTGTGCCAGTGAACAAGGAATGTGCTATAATGGTGTGACACTCTGTGGATTGTTTCACAGAGGGGAAAAAATGGATTTCCAAAATATAGCCTGGGGGTGGCAGGGTTAGTAATGCAGGAAATAAATTTGATTGGTAAAGCCTTCAATAAACCCTCCAATGACTTGCACTTTATCCAGCAGGTAACAGGATGTTAGTGAAGTTGTATGTACAAAGGTATAAGAACTAAATTTGTCATTCATGAGAGCTCCTTTAGATGTCGTGCTTAGGGTGGTCTGAAAGGGCAAGATTGATGGATAGGAGATGAACCAGGATATGTTCTGGTGCCACGGGTGAGAAATGGTGAAGGCTTCCCTGAAATAATGAGGTGGAGAATACCATTTGGAAGGCACTTTTTAGAAGGGATCTATAGCACTTGCTGACTAACTGCACGCGGTGTGAACGATGATGCTGCAGTCTAGCTCGGGAGTCAGGCTCCTCGGGGTCCTATTAATGGAAATACACAATGCAAAGGGCGGGGGAAGAGCTGGTTTCAAGGAATAAAATAATGAGCTCAGTTTTAAACATATTGAGTTCTTTGTGCCCATGGGGTATCCAGGTAGAGTGTTTTATGTGCCGGAAATGCATAACATCTCTGCTGGTACTTCATGGATTGTAGATGTGCCTGGTGTTGTCCAATATACTGTGCCTTCTTCCAGTTTATGTACTAGGAGACAGACTTTGGAAACTGACAGCATCACGTTGATTTCATGATTTGTTTTACTTTGGGCTACAATCAGCAATCAAAATAACTGCTTCAGGGGGAGATTCCAAAATCCCCTCCTGGTAACTTTCTTCAGTTAGATACACACACACACACACACACACACACACACACACACACACACACACATGCTACATTTGCCCAAATTCAAAAGTATAACAAATTTTCCAGTATGTAACTGCTGTTGTATAATTTTTGTCTCTTTAGATGATCAATTCCATGATTTTAAGAGGGAAATATATTGTTCTTGATAAGCTTTCTATTACATATAACAGAAATCAAAATTGATAGATGCATGGAAGGATGGATGGATGAACAAATGGATGGATGAATGGATTTGTAATCTTACTGTAGTTATATGTAATATTTGCTGTAGCTAGTTGCCTAGGAATTTAAAGCTTGATATCCTACTGTTTAATGTCTAAGTGACTTTTCAGTGGGATGCTGACTACAGCAACTGAGTGGGAAGGAATCACTATAAATATTTTTAAATAGGCTTCCATTATGTTATTTTCTCTTGGAAATGTGAAATAATCCAAAGATTTAAGTTTTTTGCTGGCTATACAAGACACATTAACCTTTGACATGAATATTTGAAAACTCTCTTGACGCTGTTCTAAAAACTGGTAGATGAGGTTGTGACCAGATTTCTGTTTTGAGAAGACAGACAAAGAAGTTGGAGAATAAACCACTTTGGGTGGACAGAAAACAGATGAGTGAATAGAGGGTCAAATGGAAAAAGTAGGTCAAATCATTTTCTCCATCAAATACTTAAAATTAACATCATACCAGACTGTGGGAATGTTGGCAAACAAACTAGTAAAGTTTCTGCCTTGGAGTTTATAAACAAAGACAGGAGTCAGCCAACAGCCAAATCATCATGCTAATAAGTGTAACATTGCATCTATGATAAATGTCATATAAAAAGAAAAGGCAAACTAAAAAAGAAAGAAAGAAAGAAATGTGGTGGACACACAGTATTTAAGAAGCTGGATTAGAAAGCTCTTGAGTCTGGAACACTTAGTGAGCATTAAGCTCACTAATGCCATCAAATATATAAGTAAAAGGGTGAAAGATTTATATTATCTGAAGAGAAGGGGAAAGGGAGTTAGAGGGAAAAGGACGGAAAGTGGGCATGAGGGAGCAGGAAGATTGAGTCAGGGGAAAGAATAGAGGAGACCAAGAAAAGAGATACCATAATAGAGGGAGCCATTATAGGTTTGAAGACAAATCTGGCACTAGGAAAATGTCCAGAGATCAATAAGGATGACCCCAACTAACAATCTATGCAATAATGGAGAGGCTACCTTAAATGCCCTTCCCTCATAATGGGATTGATGACTACCTTACATGCCATCTTAGAGCCTTCATCCAGTAGCTGGTGGAAGCAAAAGCAGACACCCACAGCTATACTGGATCCAGTTACAGAGAGGGAAGAGTGATGAGCAAAGAGGTCAAGACTAAGCTGGAGAAACCACAGAAACAGCCAACCTGAACAAGGGGGAGCTCATGAGGCTCAGTCTGATAGCTGGGAAACCAGCTTAGGACAGACCCAGACCCCTTGAATGTGGTGTTAGAAGGCCTGGGTAGTCTATGGGGCCTCTGGTAGTGAATCAGTATTTATCCCTACTATACAAATGGATTTTGGGAGCCCATTCCACATAGAGGAATACTCTCTCAGCCTAGACACATGGGGAGGGCCTAGGCCCTGTTCCAAATGATATGACAGATTTTGAAGATCCCCATGGAAGGCCTCACCCTCCCTGGGAAGCAGAAAGGAGATGGGATGGGGATTGGTGAGGGGGAACAGGAGGATGGGCAGGTGCGGGAACTGGGATTGATACGTAAAACAAGCTTGTTTCCAAACATAAATAAAAACTTATATAAAAAATAAAGTTAAATAAAATGGTATGTTTGATAAATTAGAGTTGCCTTTGACCAGAAGATGAAACTAATAAGCTCAAGATTATAACTTCTGATTTTACAATTAATTCTACCCTATTACCAACTGGAACAACGTCAGTGTTCACTTGAAATGATGGTATTTTGGTGATGTGACAGTTTACTCTCTGTCTCTATGTTAATCACTTTTCCCCCTATTCAGATGTTGCAAGAGCAATTGAACTACTGGAAAAGCTACAAGAATCTGGAGAAGTACCCGTGCACAAGCTACAGTCTCTCAAGAAGGTGCTTCAGAGTGAGTTTTGTACAGCTATCCGAGAGGTAGGACACAGATTTTTAGCAACTACATTTGACCATATGTCTTCTGGGTAGAAAACACATTTTTCCATATAAACAGTTGAAATTGTTAAGCTTGGAAGAACATCTTTGCTTTCTGTTTTTAGCTCCTTGGACAGATGATAAAATATAATTTAGTCTGCTAAACTCTTAAATTAGACCCATGCAGAAATTATGCACTTTTATAAAGCCAAATTTCTGTTTTATGATACCAGGGAAGGATCTGCTTCTGCAGGTGACTGTAGTGTTCATCCTAATCTACTTTGCAGTCACATGAAGCCACCTGGAAATTCAAGTAGAAATAATCATAATTAATGAGCTGATTTCTTAGGGGTATACTTGAGTAAATCTTTCATAGTTAAATCTGAAAGAGTCACTCCTACCAGTTGAAGTTATGGTTACTTAAATATCAATGTCTACTGTGATAATAGGGGGAAATTTTTCTTAAAATAGACTGGCATGCCTTGGAGAAAATCTGCATCATTCTTCCCAGTTAATCATTGTTTTTGTTAAATGAGGTAAAAACAAGTGTTTAAATCTCATAAATTGGATTGTGGTAAAACTGACTTACTCAACTGATGAATATAACTGGTCACAAGAAAAACTCCTTCAGATATTTAAGCTTATTTAGTAATCTGTTATACCTAATCTGTCACTCACTAGATACAAATCCATTAATCAGAACCCAGAGCCTATAAATATAGCATAGCTGTTGTTTTAGGAATCACAGCTGATGGATCTTCTACTGGCCTCCTACTCAAGGCCATGTAAACCCACTGAATACCAGGAAGAGTTGGTTTTAGCACAGCCTCTGAAGGACAGCTGTACCAGGCTTCTGTCTTCTTTTGTAACACTGCATGTAGATAATGCTGGTTTATAAGTCAAAGATAGGTACAAAAGATCTATATACATCACTGCAGCAGAGACACACATACTCTATTCATTTCAACTGTAGCCTCTGCATTGCAATTAGGGCTTACACTTGGCTGGTGTTTGACTTATACTATGCTTTTGCTCCGAGTTTCTCAGGTGAAGTTGTTCACTATTTGCTTTTTGTTAATACTGAACAAAGCTTAAATAAATTACTATAATTACATTTCTAAATTTTCAACCTGTCAGTTGATCAAAGGCTGGAAGGAAGTTTCTCAAAGTGTAGTAGCTCTATAGCTGTCTTCACATTGGTACAAAAAGTATACCATGCCAAGAAACCCATGGACTCCTCACAGATAACCTCCTGAGAATGCTGTAGAAGCAGCAGCTAAGTTCTCCAGGCTCTTTTTTCTTTCCCTTTGGACTGTGTAATCTCTTGGGGACTTGTAGCCAACTTTTCCCTTTTCAGAGATTAAATCATCTCTTCTGTGTCATAGCATTTTGATTTCTGCAGAAGGGACTCAAGGGCAAGGCACATAAAATATTTTTCTCTGATCATGATCAATTCCAACTCTCTGTATTCACAAAACCTACACTGTCCATGAAAGAAAATGGTGATAAATAACCTTACAGAAGAAAGAAATAGAGAGTGGTGATGATACCGTAGACAGTGAAAAAGTGGATTAGAAGAGTTGGAGCAAGACTTTACCAATTTCGGAAAGTCAGAAAAAAATTAATTGAATATTGAAAAAAAGTCACACATCCTGAGGAACCACAAGTTCAAGACCTTAAAGGCAAAATGGTCCCTGTGCATGAATGAATATGCTGAGAGGCAGCAAGTCTTCGTGAATGGGCAAGATACATTCCCTAGAAACAGCTGGAGATCAGGTTACATAAAGCTTCATAGACCATATAAAACATCGGACTTTATTCTCTGTGAGGATCTCTGGGAGATTTTTGACCAGACCCAATTTGCTTTGGGAAAGGTCTCTCTGGCTACTGCAAAAACACAAATACTGGTACAAGGGTGCAAATAAAAGACCAGAAACAATGTAATGAGGACATCATGTGAGAAATGGAATGTGTTAGCAGTATAATAGCAGAAAGTTATTAAAATCTTCCTCTATTTCTGAGATGAAAATGAACTGATATTGTTGATGAATTGAGTACACAACATTGAAGAGATAGAAGTATCCGTTGGATCTTAGTTTGGGTTTTGACAATTGGATAGACATGCATGAACATGTTACAATAAGGTAGATTATTTTACTAAATCAATACATGCTGACAACCAAGAATACACAAGATGCTCATAAAAAAAGGAGAGTGTAAGTAAAATAGCTACCTACACTGTATAAACCAGAACTGGTAAAAGTACTTTTATGTTCACACTCATGTACTTAGACATAATTTTGTTCTTAGATGCAGTACTTATCATCCTGCCTGGTATTTGTACCAGTGATGTAGAATCATTTGCAACATCTGCAGTCTGCAGTTATCATCATTATTATCTTATCTCTACATTGCATTACAGGTGCTGTAGGGAGCAGTGGCAAAATTGTAACACAACAATTTTAAATAGTATTCTAATGAAAGTGCTTTCAATGACAATACATCATAAAATATGAGTATGTTGCCAGGAAGGTGAATCAAAAGCCAATAAAGAAATTGACTCAAGGAAGTCTAGCAATGAATTTTCAAAATTTAAATAGGCTTGGGCCAAGAATACTTTCATTTGTGGTCTCTATATGGCTGGCAAGGTTTGTGGAATTTTGGTTTTCATTTAAATAATCTTAAGATTTTTCTTGTTAAATTATTTGATTATTTCTCCAGAAATATTTGTTAAACTGCATTATTGGTTATAGCTAACAGAGCAAAACCAGACGTAGGTCACAAAACTGTCAATAACATATGTTCAAAACAAGAAGGCAGGCTTAGCTTTTGTAAATATTGCTTATATTATTATTATATGAGGCAATGATTATTATATGAGGCAATTTTATATTTTGCTATCCATGTAGGGTGAGACTACTGAATCAACCCTTGTCATATGTACAATGCTTTTAATAGAAGTGTTTGGTGAGATTTTATGTGTTTTAAGCAAAAAAATCATGCTTAGAAAAGATCTTAATTCTTATTTTGTAATCCATAATACTAAAGTGATGTGAGATATCATTCTGTAAATATGTTTCTCTTATTGGTTAATGAATAAAGCTGTTGGCTTGTTACTAGCATTAATTATTGGCTAGCTCTGTCTTAAATATTAACCCATTTCTTTTAATCTAAGTATTTCCATGTGGTCTTATCTTACCAGAAAGAGGGTCCGGAGTCTTGGTCTTATCTTACATCCCCCATATTTCATATCCTGTGTGTCAAATAAAGAAAGAAGTGTGTGAATAACCATATTTAAGAGACCATCCATTCATAGTTTAATCTCACCCAGCTACAAACGCTGCAAATGATCATAATGATTTGTTTGCAAGATTTGCCCACTGGTACAATCGTGGTGTGAATGCTACAAAAGAAAAGGCGCCCCCTTTTTAAATTGGATTTAAGGCCCACCATGAGCTGGAACTTATACCTTATATTGTTAATGAGATTAAGAACCTGATAAGATAGATCATAGGGCCCAGGGGGAGAGTCCACTACTATTATTCTGCTAAATGAACACAGCAACAAAGCAGCTCTTAATGACCTATTTCTGTACTCACAGGTCAGTGTATCCCACAACCTCGAATCAAACTCGATTACCGAAGACGGTAATCAACACAGAGACCCACAGCTCTTTGATGCTTAAGGAAACTACCGGTTTCCTTAAACAGGGTTAATATGCATAATAAATCAAAGAAACTGTTTGAGCATGCACAAGACAAGCCAGACAAAAATCCCAGTACTAAAGTGGGGAAGTGGGCACAATGCATTCCTCCCAGGCAAGAGCTATTCACAAAGATAGCTACTGAGAGTTGAAAAGAATCAGGTTTCTTCAGTGGAGTTACACTAGGTATATCAGTCACCCTTCAGGCAGGCCGACACAAATACAACTCTGTGAGCTTTAGTGGCTCCTTTCTTTTGTTTTTAATTTTGCTTAAGAGAGAGAGAAAGAACATGAAGCTGGGAGAAGGTAATCTAGAAGGAACTGGGGAACAGGAAAGTGTATGATAAAATACAGTGTATTAAATTCTCAAATACAAATAATAAAAATAAACCATTAGAGAGAGAGATTCAATTTCAGTAGCAGAATATAAAGAAATGATTTTCATAGCCAAAGTAATAAAACAACTTAGCTAGTAATTTGGTTACTAGTAAGATGGTGATCATCTTCTAAGTGGTAAAGAAAAGCATTTGAGCCTTCTACTCCCCAGGATAATGTACTCCAGACCTGACTGTGACAGGCTGCCAAAAATTGATTCTGTGGAGAATGGCCTCCAGCATTTATTACAGGAATATGCATGTTTGAACCAAAGTATAGATCAAGATTACATAGTCGCCCAAATTCTATTCTTCAGCTAATCACCATACATCCCATGTTAAATTTTTCTAACAAGGTGAAATGATAAGAAAATATACCACTTCCACATGCATCATATTCTGCCATAGCCTATAAAATTGAACAAAAATATCCTAATTCCCATCTGCTACCTATCACACCTTGGAGTTGAATTTCTCCATCCTCATCAAAGTTAGACATTGTTATCCCAACTGCTTTGGTCAGGGGCATGTTTTCCTCTGTAAACCATAAACTTAGTGCATGACTTTACCTGTTCCCTTCCCTTTTCCTAGGTAACTTGTAATATGATGTTATCAGTCTGCTAGGGTTTTAGGTGTACTGGTCAACCTTAATACACCCATAGCCTGAGCAAGAAGTTAATAGGTATTACTCCCAGTCTTCTTGACTTTAAGATTATAGTTCCATAGCATAATCATGGCTACCCTGACTGGCAAAATACCATAATAAAACCAAATTTATTTTGTTAAAAGGTTATAAGCAGTACCTTTAATTGATATGATACATATACACACATCTCTTTTTAATTAGAACAGGAAGTTTGCAGGTAGTTTAATTGTAGAATACTTTCCCTGAAATTTGAAATTTGATTCCAGCAGCAAACAAAATG